GGTTAGCCGGAAGCTGTACCGCGGTGCGTGAGTATTCGTTGCACGATCACCACAATTTTGCACACACATTCATTCGCTACCAGCTTAAGCGAATAAAGTGCGGTATGGCTTACGACAGATGGACATACGCAATACGTGCTCTAGCCAGCGAAGCCTATTAGTCTGAATTCGATGAGCTAGCAGGTTTATCCCTGATAAACACCTAAATACATGACGACTTACCTCCAGAATACTCGTTTCCTCCATCCCGCGTGGGCTAAACTACGTAAATACTGATAATCGAAATACCTCTACGAAAAAACTGAATAGGAATCGCAAACTGGGGTACTCTTGACGAATGCCGTTGCTGGTGACAAACCGCTTAATTAGTTCGTTTCAGTCCCTTACTCAACCCGAGATGAGTATAGCGACCTCAATATGTTAGCTTACTTCTGGGACATTACTTCAANTTTTTAAAAGAGGACCCCCACAGCTCCGAATTGTGTCTGTAATGGTTGCAAACGCTCGTTAATCAGCTCTGAGTCTGATTGAAATGATATGGAGCATTACGAAAAGTTACATCAAAACGCAGCTCCGAAATCAACATGCCAAAATGAATGCAGGTGAGAATGGCTTGTTCTGAAAGTATTGCTGTCGATGTCACGATTCACTTTACGCAAGATCATTGTCGGCATACATCTAATCATGCTTGTGCACATTATCTGCCACCTAGCAGAATGCTTCAGGTTAAAACACATTTGATCTTTTTAATCGTGGAACGTTTTTGTCATTGGAAGAAATAAGTCAAAAAGTTCTATCACTGTTGAATTCGATATGCTGGGTACTTGAGAAACTTCATAGAATGTAGAGCACATTTACAATTACACTGGATTGGTTTCCCACTTTACGGTTGTGAATAATTTCATGCAGAAGCAGCTCCTTGGTAGACAGCGCTTTCCAGGGCACGTGGTGATTAAAGGCCAGTCAAGGTAAGCAGTTTATGCATTGCTAAAATCAAATGATCATGTAAAGCCAGTCGACTAGGTTGGTCATGTTGACATTTGGCTTTTTGTTGAGGTGCAAATGGTACAAACTATCAAACACGGGTTTATTCCAGTTTAGTCAAAATAATCACCACAATTTGGATTTATTTTCATCACGGACGAAGGAGGAACCACTGTTGATCTGTGCTGCTAGTGATTCGAGGGTAAAACCTAACTGCAATAGTCGTGCCATCGGGTTCCTATCAAGTGCGCAATGAATATGATGGTATGGCCGGACGTTAGTTGTGAGCCACTAAGTATCAGAGCTTCTGCCATTTGCATTGTATGCACAATATTTTGGTTAGTCCGAGATTCGCCGAAGGAAATCTAATTTATGTTTAATCCTTAACTAAGTGGATAATCTTAGTCGCTGCTATTCCTTAATTCATATTGAACAGTGACCGTTAAGCTAAAAAGCTAGGCAAATTAGGCTAACAATTAGGCAATTATATTCATTCTACCAAAGTGGTAAACTTCTAGAGAAACCTAACCCCAATGGAATTCCAATCACTACGTAGTCGAGGGTATAGGTTGAACCAGCCCATTGTAACAGATCATAGTAGTCATCGCATTATCGATCCACCTTGTTACGACACACTTGTCTATAAGACCGATCGAGGTCACTTATCGTCGAGTTAGTCCATTCGCATCTATGCAGCTCACTGAATCGGGTTCCCGAGATGAGGGTGGAGAGTGGGTAGAGGACGAATGAACGGTTAAACCCCATCCCATTCCACCGAAACTTTCATCCGCGCTCGGTACCGCACCCAAAAAGTACTTTTGTTCGTTTAGCGAGAATTAGTTGATTCGGACTGGACTGGGTTCAGACAGATCTGATCCAATCAATGACGTTTGACCGACCCAAACACCAATAGTCTTGTCGAGTTCCCAATGGAATGCGATTGGTTCCAACCAATCGCATTCACTTGAAGTTGCAAAGGTATAGTTTGTCAATTCCCTATCAAGTGATCATTGAATGTGATGAGGTGAAATGATCAGTGTTGCTAATGTTACGTTGCTGTGTCATGTAGCCGTCATTCGTCTTGTAAACAGAATCCAACACACAATCTTTATCGGATTTAAAAATGTCATAGCTACCATTGTCAAGCATTTTCTGACTCATGCCTTGCATTATCAAAATAATATATTAACCGGGTGGCAAGCGTTCAGCTATTTTAGATAGCACAGTCACCAGCATTCTATGACTAACTGATAAAAACAGAACCAATACAGTATATGTTCCCGTAGAATACAATTGACGAATTTGATCGTAGTTACAATGAACTCACTTGAAGCGAAAATAGTATAAAATGTTTTTTCTGTTAGGATGGGAAAATTCTATCACACTTTGATTACCTTTGACTCCACCTTGTCCGTTAAAGTCATCAAGCGATTTGTGAAGCATTCACTCATCCTTAGAACACTTCATCCCATATTCTAGTAATGGAAACAGTCGCTGTTCTTTTTCATGTCAGTATTTTGGGAATCAAATTAGATGCCACAAAAAACAATTCAAAGTATCACAACGGGCATATGTCAAATGAACAACTACTTCTGGAATATGATCTGCGTGAAACTGAAGCTGAGGTACAGTTTAAAGGTAGTTGAAAGTATCAACCAAATTACACCGAGACAAAATGTGGGCATTTTTGGCCAGTTCAGCTGAATTGTGTTTTTTTCTCGCCTAATACACCGCCTACACGTCCCGTTCAGAATGAATAATCCATTGTATGTTGGGTGAATAGACTGGCGGTGAGATCTGAATGTCTGCACCCACGCCTTGCTTCTCATTTGATAGATGGGACTCACACTGGTTGGTTGTTGTTGAGTCTTCTGAGAACGAACCCACCTCATCCTCGTAATGAAAAGATGTTTGCGGAGAAAGGACTTCCGGATTTGAAAGTTCCAAATGGTCGTTCAGTGTCGGTTCATGCAAATTCCGGTGCCGGTATTCCATAGTTCGTACAAACGGAGTGGCTGCTTTTGGGGTTTCCGGATCAATAAAACATTCTTGTTGGACGGCTTCCACATCTTGATGTGCATTGCGAACTTGTTCTTGATATCCACTCATTTCAGTAAACTCGTGATCTTCCAAGGTATGTTGTCCGTGCGGTTGGTAGTCAGCAGATACTGAAGTCGAAGTATAGGAGGCACGTGGAAATATGCTTACAACTGGGTTCGGTACTCTGGTTGCAGACAAAGGTACGTTTGTTGACAATGGAAGAGTAACATTAAAAATCTCAGGCGATTTTTCAGCTTTATCTGAAAGTTTCTGCCTTTCTACTTGAATAGCTTGTTCTCGGGCATTGACTGGCTGTGTCACAGGTAGTTTTAAAAGTTTACACAAAACTTTTTGGGTATGTCTAACTCGTTGCATGTATAATGCAGCAGCTTGAGAAACCAAGCTACGACGAGTCAAAGGTCCGCGGAACATGGATATGAATGTCCTTTGCTTCGCCCGGCCTTGATGATATCCTCCCCGAACAAGTCGATTTTCGCCGCGAAGTCGACTGATCATCTTTTAACCGGTAGTCACACTGACTGATCACTCACAATTTTATTCCAGAATGGTATCTAGCAGTTAAAATCAACAACGAATCCCTAAGTCAAATATTCTTTTATTCGCAGCATTTGCCAAACTCAAAACAACTTCAACCTGTCTGAGTTATTCAATCTGACGTTTTTGTCATCTGCAAACCTGAACTGATGATTGGTTTGTTTGAAGTCCAAGGATCAGCTGACCCAGATCGATTCACTCAGCACCGTGGATAATATTATGAAGAGACCAGTCTGTGGCACAGTTCATCATAATTGGATTATGAATCAGGTTATGTGACAACCATAGAAATCAATCACCTTAAAATAAATATAAAACAAGTATGAACTAGGTGTAATTTAACAATATTCACTGTCTTCAGTGCTTGTCATTGGGTCAGGAGGAGAAAAAGTAACGGGAACGTTTTAACATATTTGTATCATGTTGAATGAGATGAAGAAAACATTCTGCTGCCGAGAGACCCC